GATCAAGTGATTCTCCTGCCTCAGGCTCCCAAGTAGCTGGGATTACAGGCGCCCGCCACCGTTCCCAGCTAATTTTTGTATTTTGAGTAGAGACAGGGTTTCACTGTGTTAGCCAGGCTGGTCACGAACTCCTGACCCCGTGATCCGCCCACCTCGGCCGCCGAAAGTGCTGGGATTACAGATGTGAGCCACCATGCCCAACCAGATCATTCTTGATGTACAGTATTCCTTTGTGCAGACGTACAACAATTCATATATCCATTCTACCATGGTTGGGCATTTGGGTACTTTCCAGTTTTTGGCTATCATAAGCATAATATGAGTAGTAAGAATAATGATTATTCTAGAACATGTCTTTCAGAGAGCATATGTTCACATTTCCACAAGGCATATACTCCTATATACCTAGAAGTAGAATTGACAGTATAGTAGATAGTACAAGTAGTTTTCCAAAGTGGTTGTACCACTTTGCCCTCAAATGGCAGGTCTGAGAGTTCCCAAGGCTCTACACCCAGCTCACGTTTAGTGTTTTCTCTTATTTTTGGTCATTTTGGTGGCTGTGTAAATCTCTCTGTGTTGTTTATTTGCATTTTCCTGACTTTGTGTTTCTTGACCATTTGGATATCCTCTTGTGACATGTCTAAGTCTTTTGCCCATTTTTCTATTGAGGACTTTGCCTTTTTCCTGTGGGTTTCTAAGAGGTGGTTTGGGTATTTCTATTTTTATTTTTTTTGAGACACAGTCTTGTTGTGTTGCCCAGGTTGGAGTGCAATGGCGTGATCTCAGCTCACTGCAACCTCCCCCTCCCAGGTTCAAGCGATTCTCCTGTCTCAGCCTCCCGAGTAGCTGGGATTACAGGCTTCCACCACCAAGACTGGCTAATTTTTTGGTATTTTTAGTAGAGATGGGGTTTCATCATGTTGGTCAGGCTGGTCTCGAACTCCTGACCTCAGGTGATCCACCTGCCTTGGCCTCCCAAAGTGCTGGGATTACAGGCACTTGCCACCATGCCTGGCTGATTTTTGTATTTTTAGTGGGTTTCACCATGTTGGCCAGGGTGGTCTCGAACTCCTGACCTCAGGTGATCTGCCCACCTCGGCCTCCCAAAGTGCTGGGATTACAGGCGTGAGCCGCCACGCCCGGCCTGTTTTGTTTTGTTTTTTTGAGCTGGGATTGCAGGCGTGAGCCGCTGTGCCCAGCCTCGAATGGGAATTTTAAGAGGCCTTTGCATTGGTCTTTCACACCCACTTGTGCAGTCATTGCAAGGAACCAGACTTCACGACATTTCATGTGAAAAATAATTGGGCGGTTTGTTTTTTTCTCTTTCCCGCCACAGCTTCGTAGAGCCAACAGTTGGACATGGCATCTCAGGAGACGGATGCAGTCCTTGGGTCATACACAAGCATTAACACACTGTCATCTTCGCACTTAAGCGCTTTGTTCAGTTTCTAATGGTGCCGTTCGCTTGTGTGGCTGGTGTGTGGCTTGGAGACAGTGACCAGGATGAGTGACCTGGGTGACTCATTGAGACTCTGACAGGGTTTTAAGGAGTGAGGATGATTTATAGGTGGGACAGAGTCACGGGAGACCACCCTGTAAATGGGAAAGAGCATCCTTGCCTCACCTTTCCGGTTCCTGGATCTAGGACTACCTCTTGTCTCCCGGCACCCTGCCCTCCCTCACCCGGTGTCCACAGTGGGTGGGATTGTCTGCTTGGTGGCCTTCCTCTAGAGGTGTCCTTTGCGTTTGTCACTCATTGCCCTCCAAGCCTGAGCCACGGGGATGCCACAGAAGGACCCTGCAGTGGGGAAGCTGCGTGAACAACTCCAAGACTCCTTTGCTAAAGGACAAACAAAATGTCCCTCATGAATGTGCTTGTCACTTAGTAACATTTCTGCAAGGAAAGGAGTTGTGACTTAGCACCTGTGGTGCCTGTGTGGTTTCAGCATCTGCAGGAGTTCGTAGTAGTTGCCGTTTCTCCAGACCTGGGGATTAATGTCTGTCTTACACTTCTGCTTTAGGATGCTTTGCGTGTGGGATGGAAAATGGATTCCGAGTCTATAACACTGACCCACTGAAAGAAAAAGAGAAACAAGGTAAGAATTAACGGACATTTCCTGGTTTCTCCCTTTTCCAACCCTCAGAGTCTAAATTTAACCTTGCAGGTGGAGCAGGGAGGGGATGGCTGTTTCTGAGAAGTGGGTAGGGTTCATGGCCCCTCGCCAACTTGGAGGGAGCTGTCCTCTTTCTTCTGTTGAGCTTCTACAGGTGCTGAGGGATCCAGGAGTGTGCTGAGCAGGTTTGTTCACTGGCCTGATTTCTCTAGTGAACTCTAGATCAGCGTGAACTTCTCGTGCCTTTTCCCTGTCACATCAGGGATTTTTGGCAGCAGAAACCTCTTTTCAAATGAAATCTCACCTGTAACCCTGGGATGTAAAACAGTAAGTGGTGCTTTATGTCTGGGAGTTTATTTTGTAAGTCAGGGTGCATTTCCTCAGGCTGCATCCACACTGTGTACATTTGAGTCCTGGTTATGCCCTTTAGCAGGTTGCTGTGCAACCTTGGGCAAATTTCTCAGCCTCCTTGAACCTCTTCCCACCCCCTCTTTCTGAGACAGAGTCTCGCTGTGTCGCCCAGGCTGGAGTGCAGTGGCATGATCTCGGCTCATTGCAACCTCCACTTCCCGGGTTCAAGCGATTTTCCTGTCTCAGGCACACGCCACCACGCCCGGCTAATTTTTGTATTTTTAGTAGAGATAGGGTTTCCCCATGTTGGCCAGGCTGGTCTTAAACTTCTGACCTCATGATCTGTGCACCTTGGCCTCCCAGAGTGCTGGGATAACGGGTGTGAGCCTCCCCGCCCGGCCACCTCACTTTCTTTATATGTGAAATAAGGTTGATAGGCCGGGCGCGGTGGCTCAAGCCTGTAATCCCAGCACTTTGGGAGGCCGAGACGGGTGGATCACGAGGTCAGGAGATCGAGACCATCCTGG